ACCTGCAGTCCCAGCTACTCCGGAGGCTGAGGGGAAAGGATGGCTTAAGCCTTGGAGGTGGAGGCTGGAGGGAGCTGAGATTGTGCCACTGCGCTCCAGCCTGGGTGACAGAGCGAGATCCTGTTCCCTCCCACCTCTACAAGTCTAAAACTCTCTCTCTCTCTCTCTCTGTTACCCTCCTTAAAGTGTTCTAATTGCTGTCTGTGTTAATTAGAAGGAAAGAAGAAGGGCTGCTAAAGCTCTGTGCCCAGCTGCGTGACTGCAGCCTGGCCTTCGTCCCAGCCAGGGCACCGGCACTAACAGCCACAGCCAGCCAGCCTCCAGGCAGGTGTTCAGCAAACACCTTGCGGTGAAAGCCTGAGTGCGGCTGGTGATGGTGGAAAGAAGATAAGCTCTCAGGACCAGCTGCTGGGCGGCAGGGAGGCAGGGAGGCAGGGAGGGAGGGAGGGAGAGAAGGAAGGGAGGGAGGGAGGGAGAGAAGGAGGGAGGGAGGGAGGGAGGCAGGGAGGAAGGGAGGGAAGGAGGGAGGGAGGGAGGGAGGGAGGGAGAGAAGGAGGGAGGGAGGGAGGGAGGCAGGGAGGGAGGAGGGAGGGAGGAAGGAGGGAGGGAAGGAGGGAGGGAGGGAGAGAAGGAGGGAGGGAGGGAGGCAGGGAGGAAGGGAGGGAAGGAGGGAGGGAGGGAGGCAGGGAGGGAGGGAGAGAAGGAGGGAGGGAGGGAGGGAGGCAGGGAGGGAGGGAGGGAGAGAGGAAGGAGGGAGGGAGGCAGGGAGGCAGGGAGGGAAGGAGGGAGGGAGGGAGAGAAGGAGGGAGGGAGGGAGGGAGGCAGGGAGGGAGAGAAGGAGGGAGGGAGGGAGGGAGGCAGGGAGGGAAGGAGGGAGGGAGGGAGAGAAGGAGGAAGGGAGGGAGGGAGGCAGGGAGGGAGGGAGGGAGAGAAGGAGGGAGGGAGACAGGGAGGGAGGGAGGCAGGGAGGCAGGGAGGGAAGGAGGGAGGGAGGGAGGGAGGGAGAGAAGGAGGGAGGGAGGGAGGGAGGCAGGGAGGGAAGGAGGGAGGGAGGGAGGCAGGGAGGAGGGAGGCAGGGAGGCAGGGAGGGAGGGAGGGAGGCAGGGAGGGAGGGAGGAAGGGAGGGAGACAGGAAGAGAGGCAGGAAGGGAGGGAGGGAGGAGGGAGGCAGCCAGCAAGGGGACAGAAAACAGATGCTCTGAAGACAACCCCATTTCCTCCTTAATTACCTTTCCTTCCCTAGACCACATTTTTTCTCTTTGAAGACTCTTTCCTTAATTCTTCAAATTGCATATAATACCAAGCACTTGTTCCAAGCACTCTTTTTATTCTATTGAGTCATATAATTTGTCATTATGTTGATCAAAAACAGCTGAACACAAACGTCCCTTGTGGGAAGGGGGTGACTGATTCCAGGAATTCCCCCAATACCAAAATCCAAGGATGCTCAAGTCCCTGATGTGAACACCTGCCTGCAGCCTCGGCGCATGCTTCGAATACTCTAAATCATCACTAGATTACTTAGAATCATATACTGTAAATCCTCTATGAATTCTGCTGTGCTGTTTAGGGATTAATAACAAGAAAAGATGGTTCAGTATAGATACAACCATCTCTTTTTTAAAGATTTTCAGTCTGTGGTTGGTTTTATTGACAGAGGCAGAATCCAACCGTACTCGTAACTTCCCCCAACTTCATCTAAAACTTGAGGGTGTCCAACCTACTGAGTCACAGTGAGCACTTAAAAACTGGGGGTGGCTTCAACAGGATGGAATCTGGATTTCACATGACAGACAGACAGCACAGGAAACGGTGAAAAACGTAATCAAATTAGTCTTGAACGACATGCAGGTAAACGGCATACTGTTTGCGCATGACCAGCACCTAAGAGTGTCTGCGGTGGCCCGGGCACCGAGCATCCCAGTCCAGATACTTATCCCAGTTCCAGGATGCCAGCAACTCCGACAGCAGATCTGCCCGAGACGTGCGGCCTCTCTCTGTGCTTCTGTTATTCATGAGTCGCCTAAATGCTTTCTCATCAGAGTTCTATTTTGGCCCATATGCTGAAGGTTTGTATGTCTCCTTGCAAAGCAATATTCGTTCTTCCTTAGTGATGGTTTCTAAGCTCCCTGAGCCTACTTGTGTTTGAGAATATTGAAAAGGTTGATTTTTATAAGCTCCAATCGTATGCCCTTTCACCCCTCCTCTTTCCTACTAAAAATACTAATTTTTTATGAACTCTAAAAGCGTTCTTTCCGTCCACGCCACGTACCTTTCTCGGTGGAGGATTTAAATCTATTAACGTACTCACAAAGGCTGACTTTTTTTTCATAATTTTGCCCTTCTACTATTTTAAGTCAATAACAAGAGCTGCTGGGACCACATCTTAAGTGGGGATAAAAATAACGTGACTATCAGAACTTTCCAGAGGAATAGGTGGCAGCATTCAACTGACAAAACACATTTCATTTTAAAAAGGAGTTTCTTTCAGGTAATCTAACAATGCAAATTATTTCCAGATCCAGAAACAGCATTCAAATCAATTCCTGGAATGTCAAAAAATAAGTTAGGGTAAAATTATGATGCAACTTGTTTTACTGGCATGGTCGCATGGATCTGAATTAGTTTCAGCTCTGCTCCACAAGCAGGCTGGCTGCTTCCTATGAGAAGCTCCGTCACCTTTCATGCCTCAATTTCTACACAGCTGCTCTAACAGTGTTAAGCAGCCTTCCCATCAGAGTTCTGTGAGAATTCAAAATAACCTAAAAGTTTAAAGAACTAAGCAATCTTCTTCATAACAGGAAAGGCAAGCATTTTCCAAAGCTGCATGTATTTTTTCAGAAAAAGAAAGGAACGCTGCAAATTCAAACATAAGATTCAAGATACCCAGTTTCTTTCCCAAGCTAACCCTGTGAAAGACCCAGGCCAAGCCCCACAAATCAGAGTGTTTAGAGAGCAGTTAAATTGATGGAACGTGGTCTCTCTCCTCAAGGAATATCCGTGAATTAGTCATTTGTTGCTACATTGGGTCATTAAAGGTGCCTGTTACTGAAATGAAAAGTCTTGTGTTGTTAGGTAGCCAGCTACTGTCCTTTGGGATTACAGAAAGTGACCCACATACACCTACAAGACTCTTCCATGTTATATGCCTCTGTCATGCCATTAATTTCTGTCCTCTCTCAATAACCTAAAATATCCTATTTATTCTATCACCAACTTTTTGTTAAATTCAACTATGATACATGTACTGTTATGGAAATCATCTGAGGTCTATGGTAGGTTTCTCAAAAAGTTATATATAGAGAAAAACATATATGTCTCTCATACATATAGTAGTCTCTAAAATTTAATGAACCTGAAAACAGTACCTTCTAATTTATGATGAAAATTGTTTGATTTTTCCAACTTCTTGACTTTTAAAAGCACTACTAGAGTAGCTTATTCTGAATCATGTGACCACCATCAAAATAAATGGGGTGAGGCCCAAAAGCTTTTCCAAATATTAAGAATATTTCTCTTTAAAGTGGAAAAAAAAAACATAGTGCTAGCCCAGTATTTTATCCAATGTGTGCTCCAAAAAGTAGTCAGAGTACTACTGAAACATAACCAGTAAAATGTGTATTTATAAAAATTAAAAAAAAACAAGAATTAAACTTTAAAAAAGTCAACCAGGGGTCATGATGGGGTCAACCCAGTTTCACGTGACAAATTATTCGAAGAATCCAAAAGTGTGCATTGAAGGAGCACTCCATTTTCAGAGAAGGCCATGTTCTCCTGCTCCCCCTACGGGGACCAACGAGTAGGTGACCAGAAGCTGCAATACACATTACTGAAGACTCATTTACCTATGTATACGCTCATAACCTGAGCGTGGCTTCAGCACAGCTTTCGCGACAGGACTGGAGAAATGACTTGCCTTCTACATTTCTGTTGACTCGATACGCATTTCAGTGTAACAGACCCTCATACAACAGACTGTGTAAGACTGTAATAAACTCTGTCCAGATTTGGCCAGATCTCTAGCAAGGAAAAATGACATTGTCTTGTTTTGTTTTGAAGTAATACAGCAGTCATCTTCTTCACCACCGAATATCAACAGCCCTGCCCATGGGCTTTGATTTCTATCACTCTTGAAAGTCCAGGTAAAAAGCAACAGTCAATAACAGGTTTGCAGAGAAGAGAAAAATACCTTTAGCTTTGTCGAGAAACATGCAAGTTCTGGAACTGAAACATCACTTTCCACTTAAAACAATTATGCAAAGCAAAAAATAATAAAGGAAATATCAGAATGCTTAAAATTTATAGAAAGCAGGAGAATTATGAAAACGAAGTTGGCCAAGCATCTTTAAATATTTACATGGCTATGTGGAAAGTAATCTGTTCCAATTAACTGTCTCTAAACCCACAGGGTTACTTGAATCCAAGGAGATTAATTATAACTGCACAACAATTTGAAGACAGTGTTCTACCCAGCTGGAGTGGAAGAAAGAAAGAGACAGAGAGAGAGAGAGAGAGTGTGTGTGTGTGTGTGTGTGTCTGCACACATGCATGCACATTGTATGGTGAGAACTGGGTCTGGGGCAGAAAATGAAGACGGGGGGAATGTCTCAGAAGGGATCCATACTGGTGTTCTTTGCTCAGAAATTAGGATGACAGATGAGACCATCAACCCTAGCGGTCAAAGGTGTGAGTTTAAGCAAACACTGAAAGGAGCTGCAAGGGAAGCGAATGGGTGCCCATGTCTGCGTTCGCCAGTGCAAGCTCCAGTCCATACTGGGGAGGGGCAGATTCCTGGGTGTGGGGCCACCTGGGCACAGGAACCCTGGGCAAGGGCAAAAGGCCGTCCAGGCATGGAGTCCTGAGGCCCAGGGTCACCTGAGCATAGGCCTGCTTGGTTAAGGGACCAATGAGAGGGGCTACTTGAGTATACGTTTACCTGGGAGCAGGAACCCCTGAGCCTGGGCTCCCAGGGGCCACCCGGGCCACCTGCGATTGCTCACCTGGTGCAGGTTCGGGGGCGCCCTCCTCACCGCTGTCTTCGGCAGCATCCTCGGCCAGGCCGGAGCCCGGGGAGTCCGCGGCGGCACAGGCGGAGCCGGGGCTGCTGGGCTGGGAGGCCGAGTCCCCCTCGCTGAGCGAGCCGCAGCGGGCGCGCGCCGCCCGGTCCCCATCGCTGTCCCTGTCCCTATCGCGGCGAGCGCGGCGATGCACGCGCGAGTGCAGCACCATCTGATGGTAGGTGCGGAAGATCTTGCCGCACTCGAAGCACTCGGAGGACTTGCCCTGGCCAGTGGTGGTGGCGGCGGCCCTGCGGCTGGGGCGCGCGGCCGAGCGCGGGTCGAGGTGGCCGGCAGGCGCGGAGTCCCCAGGCCCGCTCGCCCGCTTCCGCGGGGGCCCCTGTACGGCCGGCGTGTCCTGCTCTCGCTTGCGCTTCTCCTGGCTCACCAAAACGAACTCGCGCCGGTCCTTGTCAAAGGCCACGTCCCCCGCCAGCGCCTCGTCCCAGGCCCCGTACTTGAGGTACTCGGCCGGCTCGGCCACCTTGCCGCGCGTGGCCAGCTGCCAGGCCTGGTAGCTGTTGACCGGGTCCAGCTCGGCCACTCGCCGTCCGGCCTGCGCGCCCGGGCACGCGTCGCCGGCCGCCGACGGCCTCAGGTTCAGGCACTGGAGGAAGAACTGCTTGGTGTCCGGGGGCCCCTCTGCCCCGTCCTCGGCCGGGGTGCGGGCGCGGCCGGCCTCGACCCTGCGGTGGATGGCGTTGTGAGCGTTCAAGCTGTCCAGGTTTGTAAACAGGTTCCCGCACTTGGCGCAGACCTCGTAGAGGCTCAGGCCGGCCACGATCACCTCCTCCTGGACCACGTTGTTGATGGTGGCGATGGGGTCCATCTCGCTCTTGGGCCTGTTCTTGCTGCCCGTCTTGGGGCCGTGCGCCTTCATGTGGTTCTTGAGGAACCAGGGCTCCTTGAACCTGCGGCCGCAGATGTGGCAACCATGGTCGAAGGAGCCACGGTGCTTCTTCATGTGCGCCTTCAGGAACCAGGTCTGACTGAAGGCCTGGCCGCACACCTCGCACGGGAACTCACCAGGGCTCAGCTCGGGCTTGCCGTTCTCCACGCAGGCCTCGGCCCCGCCGCCGCCCCCGGGCCCCTGCGCGGTGATGTGGTCCCTCTCGATGTGGCTCAGCAGCGACTCCTCCCGCAGCGTCGCGAAGCTGCACAGCCGGCACTTGAACGGCTTGTGCGCCTGGTGCACGTGCAGCTCCAGGTCCTTCTTCCGCTCAAACTGGCTCTTGCAGAAGGAGCACTGAGCCGCCGCCTTAGCCTCCCCCGTGGCGCACGCGGCGCCCTCCGCCCCCTTCTTGCTGCTCCGCAGCAGGACCCTGCCGCTGTCGGCCTGCGAGGCCCCGTTCAGGACCCTGGCGCCTTCGGCTGGCGAGGCCCCATTCAGCAGCCGGTTGCAGGCCGAGGCGCTCTTGGTGGGGCTGGCGCAGGCGTCCAGGCCCTCGGAAGCGCGCGTCTCGCCCAGCGGCGCCTCGCCCGCCTCCGGCTCGTGCCCCTGAATCAGAGTCCCTGTGCGGTGGCTCCGGATGTGAATCTTGAGGTTGCCCTTCTGGGAAGCCCGGTGGTCACAGTAGGGGCACTTGTAGGGCTTCTCGCCCGTGTGCTTGCGCATGTGCTGCGAAAGCGAGCTCTGGAAGGGGAAGCTCTTGCCGCAGATGCAGCAGGTGTGGCAGGTGGCCTTGTCCCCGTCTACCTCGTGGCCCCGGCCGGCCCTGGTGGGGCTGGGGCCTCGCCTCAGCTCCATCTCAGCCTCTCTGTTGCGATCCATCCGAAGGATGGGCGCGGCCGGTGGTGGCGGCACAGCTTTCTGTCGGGCAGGCTGCAGGGACCGTCCTATCTCTCCATGGTCAGAAAAGCAAAAAGCCGTGCCTGCTCCCAGGAGGTGCACCTTCTACATGGGCGACGCAGCAGCTGGCAGCCAGCACCTGAAACAGACACGAAACATCATCAGCAGAGCTCTGGACCAAGAGGGCGAAGGCATGGCTGCAGAGGCCGCCCCCTTCCATGTGCTCCCCAAAACAGACCCATCCCACCCACTTTAAGAAAAGTGGCACCAACAACACTTCAAATAGAAACGAGAGTAGCCGCCTGCCTTATTAAGAAATCAGTATCAATTAATTATCAATAATGAATTGTGTTAAATGATTAACATAAATGTTAATGACTGTGAACTAAAATAATTTTCTTTTCCCAATAAGGTATCAAATCTTTAAGAAGAGACTGTGGTACCAGAGCGTGAGGAGTGTCAGGAATATAAGCTACTCGGCAAGGAGACCACGTGGGAATTGGGGACAGAGGGAAGCAAGGTTTGGGAAAAGGACAGGAAGAAGAACAGGGGCCGAGTTCCCGGGCTGATGGAAGGTGAGCTGCACAGGTGACCGCAATTCACAAACACAGTCATGCACCACTTGGTGAATAGGATACGAGCTGTGAAATGCACTGTTGGGCGATTTTGTCATTGTGCAGACCTCCTAGAGTAGACACTCCCACACCCAGATGGCACAGCCTGCCACACACCTAGGCGATATGGTGAAGCCCACTGCTCCTAGACCACAAACCCTTCCAGCAGGCTGCAGTGCTGAAGACCGTGGGTACGTGTAACACAATGGTAAAATACAGCATTATAATGCAAGGGCACCACTGTAGTACATGTGGGCCCACACTGACACATCCTTATGCAATGCGTGACTATACAGAACTGTGTGTAGACCTCGGAGAAACTGAGTCTTATGTTAAGAGGTTAGACTACTTTTAATAAAGGAGAAATGACAGGGTGTGGAAAGAATGAGCTCCTGAAGTGCCAACCCCAGGACCCTGAGGCCAAAGCCATCCTGCCTGACTCCACCTGTACATGTGCTGGACCACAAGACAGGTCACAGATCAACCCCGGCTGGCCACAGTGTCTGAAGTCCACTCTCTGGCCCGGCTCATAATCGCCTATCCTTCTAGACCCTGTGCTTTTCCCCGTTCCCCCACCTGCTTTCCCCAAAAAGGAACCTCAGGCTTTGGCCCAGGGGAGTCGGGATCCCAATTCAGAGCCCATCCCCAACCCGGTGAGACCACGCAGGCTCTCATCTCTGCCTCCCCACCACCCCACAGGTCAGATTCCCACAGCATCCTCCTTGTGAGGCTAGGACTGCTCCTAGAGACTGTGCCCAAGCCAGACAACAGTGGGCATCAACCACCCTGCACAGCCACTGCCACCTGCATGCCCATCCCACCCACCAGAAGTTGAGGAGGGCAGAGACCCACTCCCTCCAGGCACACAGGCAAGGGGCAGCCTGCCAGTGTGCCTGTGTCCAGCACAGAACAGCCCCCACCAAGGACGGGGGATGCAGAAATCAAAATGCTTGGATCCAGCCAAAGAGACCTAAATGGTGCAGGAAGAAAAGTAACTCTTCAGTCGTAACAGGAATTCCACCTGACGCAGGGGAAGGTGAAGAAGCAGGAAGGGGAGTCAGTGAGAAAGGATGTGCAATGCAGAGTCTCTCAGGTCAGAGCGTGGGTGGGTTCAAGAGGGAGGAGCCGCTCACACAGCCTCCCCACCCCTGGACAGGCTCTGCTCAGCGGCTCAGCTCTGCAGAGAACAAATCCAGTTCCTGCTTCCAAGAGCCCAAAGGGTCTCCCTCCGGGGCAGGCTCTAGACGTGCACAGAGAGGCACCCAGATGGGCAGATGTTCTAAAAACCCCAAGCGATTTCACATAGAAAGGAAGCATGTTTCTGTAAACCTACAACCGCACACACACTAAGGACTCCTACTTAAACATCTGTAAAACCCAAAGCAACTCCACGTCTCCAGCTGGGAACCACAACACACAGCTTCCACGCGAAGATGACAGGGTCTCCCCCAAAAAGCCCTGGGTGACCGCTCCCTGTTTGCTCGGAGTTTTCCAGCCTGCAAGGTTTTCACAGAAACAGATGGGACACAAAAAAAAAAGAATACCAACAAGAGACCTGAGGGGGTGAAGGGGTGTGGGCTAGCAATCAGTGTCGGGTGTCAAGAGTGTCCCCAAACCTCCCCAACAGGGGTCAGGGATCTGAGCATCTTGTATTAATACTTCAACTCCCAAGGACGCAGACACCAGCAACACAGGAGCCTTCTGAACACAGCCCCATGCAATCCCCTCACAGGCAAATACCGTGCCAGGTAGAAACCCTATCAAGAATCACAGGCTTCACAGTGTCCTTCCAGAAAGCCCCCCATCGACAAGCTTTGGAGGCACCTTAAGAAACACACGCAGCCTCAGCAACAAGTGAAGCAGCAGTGTGGAGGTCTGCCCCTTCCTCCAGGGACGCACCCAGCAGAGCCAAGCAACGGAGCGGGCACGACAGGGATACCCGCCCAGAGGAGCCAAAATCCACCTGCTCCAATAAAAAACAGCCAGGCGTGGTGGTGGGCACCTGTAGTCCCAGATACTCGGGAGGCTGAGGCAGGAGGATCGCTTGAACCCAGGAGGCGGAGGTTGCAGTGAGCTGAGACTGTGCCACTGTACTCCAGCCTGGTGACAGAGCAAGACTCCATCTCAAAAGAATAAAATAAATTAAACTTCCCCCAAAACTGGAGAAATAAATAAGCTTACCAGGAAGATTTCCTAATGACCTTTTACTCCAAGCTAATTCAAATGATTTTGTCAAATGGTTTTGGTCTTGGCATACGCTGTGGATGACTGTAATGATTTATGACGATTTGATCAGGCGAGTGATCAGAGGAAGCCGTGTCCTTCCCCAGGCCCCAGTTCACTCCCCAACAGAAACGCTGCATCTGGTATTCAAAGGATGAATGAAGCGCACTATTTATATCTAACTTAGTTACTGGATGTGGTATAAAAATCTTACAAGTGTGAACCATCGCATGGAAAATACATTTACAGGGAGAAAAAGACAACTAAAACCCTGGAAATTGGTGGCTCTGAAATAACTGCACAGACTCCACCGGACCGCCAACGTTTATCCATAAAGGATGTTAAATGTTAAGATAGTTCTCCAGTTCGAGAGAATTAAACTGCCAGAAGAAGCCAGCTACGAAGATGGGATTCATGGAGGCAGAGCCCAGGCCTGGTCAGGGCTGTAAGAGGCAGCCCTCAAGTGCACCATGAAGCAAAAGGGAATGTGTTCAGTGCCAAGACTCACACGAATCTCCAGAACTGGGTGCTCTGTGGCTGTCAGCTCCTGCCTTCCTTCAGAGCAGCAGTTCCTGGAGTCTATGCCCAGAGGAGCGGCCTCCATGCCAGCCAGCTGTGTGCCAGCCAGCTGTGTGCCAGCAGCCACGCACCTGTCAGTGTGCAGGTCGCAGGGTCACGGCCTACACAGGGCGTCCAGGACAAAGGGCGCACGTGCAGATAGGAACCCTGGTCCCAGCCCTCATGCTCCCAGTTGCCAGCCACGTGGCTTTCTGGGCATGTCCTTCCCACCCTCAGCTCATCCCCTCCTATGTCAGGCACAGAGAAACAACAAGAGGAAGCCATATGTGACCGGAGCCCCTTGCAAATGCCTCCTTCTATAAAATCCAGCAACCCCTCAAAGCCCACAGCATCTAGACCCCAGGGACATCCAGGCAACCCCACACCTGGCACTGAGGCCCCTTTTCTCATCCCAGGCAGCTTCCTGGGTCCTCCGGCCCAAGTGCCTTCAGGAGTGCTGGGGAAATACAGACAGTCTCACTCATGCATCACCACAACCCTGAACACAGCCCCATCCAGACCAGCTCAGCAGCGCAGCCCAGCATCCCAGGCCACGACCACGGCTGAAGAGCAGATGGCACAGTGCCACGGAGCATGGCCCTTGTACATCTGGAAAGGCCTTGTGCCAGTATCAGACCCACCCCATTCCTGCACAGCCCTGACTCCCCAATACCCCCACCCCAGCCAGAGCCCCAACACTGGCCCTCCGGCACCCAGTGACTAGAGAATGCAATCTCCATTTCCTTAAACTCATTTAAAAGCTTTCCCCAGGGCCAGGCGCGGTGGCTCAAGCCTGTAATCCCAGCACTTTGGGAGGCCGAGGCAGGTGCATCACGAGGTCAAGAGATAGAGACCATCCTGGTCAACAAGGTGAAACCCCGTCTCTACTAAAAATAGTAAAAATTAGCTGGGCATGGTGGCGCGTGCCTGTAATCCCAGCTACTCAGGAGGCTGAGGCAGGAGAATTGCCTGAGCCCAGGAGGCGGAGGTTGCGGTGAGCCGAGAACGCGCCATTGCACTCCAGCCTGGGTAACAAGAGCGAAACTCCATCTCAAAAAAAAAAAAAAAAAAAAAAAGCTTTCCCCAAAACTTACAGAGCCCTGAAATTTACAGGCAAACATTCAAGGAAGAGCATTAAGGATGCCCTGCAATCAACAAGCAGGCTCTTCTTTCTCTGATTTCCTACTCAACACTTCTCGCCTGTCCCAGCTTTCAAAAACAAGCCCTGTTGTAAATCACTGAGAGGAGTGCACAGGATATGTTTTTAGAGGACTTAAGAACATTCTGAAGGGAAAGATACATAAACGGAGAAAGTAACTAATTGAAGCCCAAACCCCCATTACCTTAAGGAAACATGAGCAAAGCTGCCTCTGCTCAGGTCTAAGTGGTCTCCTGATGTCCACAGTTGACTAGCAAAGTTTCTCGAACTTTAAAGAAACAGTCAAAAATGTACTCTCTGCAACTAACTCTCCTAAGGGGTTACTCAGTGGCCAAATCGAAATATCTCTGTAATCATTCTTTTTAGCTGCAGGCAAAAATTGCTATTTAAGACAAGGGCATCCCTTCCAAAAAAAGAACAAGAATGCCAGTCCTCAGAGCTTCCAACTTCAAAACACGCCATGGGCGGCCGCCCCAATTAGACGGATTATCTGGACGTTGGCAGCCCTCCTGGCACGATGGGCTGTCTTTTAAAGCCCGCCAGGCTTTGTCAGCCAGGAGGGTTTTGATGGGATGCCTTCTCCAC